GTTTGTATCCCGGTAAATAGTTCTGGTCGTAAAGAACCGGGTGATTTGCTACCGTCATTTCTCGTTTGGAATATGAGGAAATGTGTCTCTCCCAGCTTACACGCGGTTTGATTGGCTAGCGCTTGTACTGTCAGATTTGCATAAACGGGATTTGATTGGCTAACGCTTCCAGCTCAGCTTCAAAAGTTGAACATTGCTCAACTTTTGAATCCTGAAAATCCTGGAAATCCTGGAAATCTTCGCTTTGCTTCCCCACAATGCAGTTGTGAATGGGTAGAGAAGCGTTGGAAGATTTTTTTAAAGCTGCTGTGTGGACGGGCCGTAACCTTTCCAAGATGATATGTTGTTCAGGGTTTATAATGTCCTGCAGGCTTTCCCCAACATGCATTGGGCAGAAGTGGAAGGAAACGTCCTGAGGAGGCCGTTGAACTTGTTCTAACCTTCTCGTCTTTGGGAGGAACCGCTGTACACAAACATGTGTTGAGCATGCACACTCCTCACAGAGAGACCCAGATGGGTTCAGACCTTGCTGTGAGGCAACAGCACTGAACGCAGGGCTGCTGTGCTGCACAGCATTAAAACATTGATGGGACATTTTAAGAATTCACGGAGAAGTACAAAATGTCAAACACAATAATTAGTGCTCAGCACGGTGGTGACAGGAAGACATGTTGCGCTGCAATCTGTAAGACAGCTGACTCTGAAGCCTGCGTGAGCCAAAGATCGATTCCTGGCACTACCCGCTTCTTGAATGCCATCTCTGCATGCCTTTGGCCCACTACCCTGTGTGGATAACTAGAAAATGGTGTGTGTGGTTGTCCTAATCTTCGGCAGAGGAGAGATGATGAGGCTGGTTTCATGATTTGTGACATTTCCAAATATAACCAAGACTAACCAAACATCTTTTCTTTTTTGGATATTTCCAAGAGGAGAGAGCAACTGTAACGCAACAGTCTCATGGATTCTTAACATGAAATAATCAATGTTCCATCAACCTCTCTCTCACACATCAGCAGATAGTGACGCTGTGATGTGCGTCAACCATACAGACGCCACTCAGGCAGATAACAGGGACCAGGATGCGTCACCCCAGCAGGGAACACACATCAGCTCACACTGCTTTCCCAAGTCAAGGTGAAAGAGAAATATAGGCTAGGATTGTCATTGACATACAGTGTATCGTGTTGTGAGATAGACGAAACATCTGCCAGGCAAAGGGCTGAGGGGATATAAAGCTATCTGTCATGCCCTAAAGGTACTTTACCACGTGATTTAAAAAGGCTTGTTGCAGATACAGTGGGGCAAAAAAGTATTTAGTCAGCCACCAATTGTGCAAGTTCTCCCACTTAAACAGATGAGAGAGGCCTGTAATTTTCATCCGAGGTATACCTCAACTATGAGAGACAAAATGAGAGAAAAAAAATCCAGAAAATCACATTGTCTGATTGTTTAAGAATTTATTTGCAAATGATGGTGGAAAATAAGTATTTGGTCAATAACAAAAGTTCATCCCAATACTTTGTTATATACCCTTTGTTGGCAATGACAGAGGTCAAACGTTTTCTGTAAGTCTTCACAAGGTTTTCACACTGTTGTCTGGTATTCTGGCCCATTCCTCCATGCAGATCTCTCTAGAGCAGTGATGTTTGGCTGTCGCTAGGCACCACGGACTTTCAACTCCCTCCAAAGATTTATCTATTGGGCTTGAGATCTGGAGACTGCTTAGGGCCACTCCAGGACCTTGAAAATGGCTTCTTGCGAAGCACTCCTTAGTTGCCCGGGCGGTGTGTTTGGGATCATTGCATGCTGAAAGACCCAGCCACCGTATTCATTTCAATGCCCTTGCTGATGGAAGGTAGGTTGTCACTCAAATCCACAGATACGATGCCCCATTCATTTCTTCCTTTACACGGATCAGTCGTTCCTGGTCCCTTGCAGAAAAACAGCCCAAGCATGATGTTTCCCCCCCATGTTTCACAGTAGGTAATGGTGTTCTTTGGATGCCACTCAGTATTTCTCTCCCCAAAACGTCTAGTTGTAAGTTTTTACCAAAAAGTTCTATTTTGTTTCATCTGACCATATGACATATTCTCCCAATCCTTTTTTTGCACCCACTGTATGATGGTAGTCATTTCATTAAGATAGTACTTCTCTTTGTATTTGCCTAGTCATCTCTGCCTTGACATAGCAACGATGTGCACTGATGACCACAATGAAGAGGCCGCTGAAGTTGATAGGAACAAAGGATAAACTACCAAATAAGCTCTTTGTATCCTGGCTTCTTGGATTGAGACGTAGGAGAGAAAATTGATTTCTGAANGATTTATGATTCGAAAATTATAAAAGTAGGGTAGACATGTGGATATTATCCGGCTGAACAAAACGTGCATTTATCAAACAGGTTTGTTTTCCACAGACCTTATTTCCAGCTATTTTCCAAAACCCTATGGAGAAATCCCATTGCTTTTTTGTCGAGGGAACGAGCAGCTTACTTCCTGGTTTTAGGACGCGTCACTGCACCTCTCAATATGATGCCAATATAAACAAGGTCTTTTGTCGGCTCTGTAAATCAATGCCGACCTATGCTGACAAGTAAGTGAAGAGTAGAAAATATAAAAGGTATTGGCTATAGGGAAATGTCCCAGCAGTTTAGGAGAATGAAGGTTCTAATCTAATCTA